GGGGGCTCGATAGACCCCGACGCCCTTTGGGCGCCGTGCCTGGGGCAGCCCTGCCCGTGAATTCCGGGCGCCTCTCCCGCCGCCGCCTGCCCTCGCCTTCGGGCTGCCGGCGGGGACGGCCCGGAGCCGACCTTGGCTGACCTCGAAAACCTAAGCCGGATGCGTTCGCACCAGTGCTGGGAGAGGAGACCCCCAGGAAACCCCAGGGCTGTAGGCTAAACTGGGACGCGGAAAAAAGTACTGTAGGGCAGTGTAATGGCAGGGGAGGGCCACTTCCGTACTGATGCAATATATACGCACATCTGCTAGGCATGAAGTCACCCGGATCCGAGGTGGCTGGAAAATTACCTTTCCGCTGCCTCAGCTCCGTTGGCTCCCCGCTTGTCCTTTCCAAGAATCTCTCCCCCGAGCCGCCTAGCGTGGTCACGACTGCGCAGCCCCTCTTCTTTCTTCTCGGGGTCGTTTCAGGCATTCCAGAAAAGCCGAAAGGCAGAAGCGCCGCAGAGTTTTGCACGGCGCCCCATTCAGGTTGTTGGTGTGAAAAATGGGTTTCACGTTCGCGATGAAAGGGTGCCTTTGGCGAGGGAGGGGGCAAAGTGATCGTTCGTGGTATTTGTGGACCAGAGAAACTAGCAGCCTCCAGATCTGCTGGGGCTTCACCTCCCAGGATTTCCGAGCCTTCGCGGACCAAAGCCAGAATCACGGCTCAGTGGTTTGGGTGATTCCAGCAACGGGATTCTGAATGCTAATTACTGGCTAGGAATTCTGGGAGTTGCAGTCCTGGCACATCTGGAGAGCACCTGATTGGGAAAGGCTAAATCAGACTCTCTACTGCCATTTCGAAAACTAAGCATTCACCGAAATTAGTTGCCTGAAGCAAAAAAATCCAAATGACGACTCCCCTCCCACTACCATTACCTAAAGCTATCAGAGTCCCTGTGGTTGGCGTTGTGACTCAGATGTTCCTGATGACCAACTAACATTATCTCCTGATAAGCTGCCTTGATGTGTTTGTTTTTAGGTGGTCTGGTCAAAATCCCATGATTCTCTTTTATTTAGCTTGCAATCACCCTTTAACCCGCTCATATATACTCTGACTATAAAGTTGGAACTTACTTGTAATAAGTTTTCTTTTTCATCCTACATTACAGTATTACTTTTCCCCAAAGCTGTTATAGTCAGAAATAGTTTCTTTGGTAAGCCTTTTTTTTTAATATAGATGTATATTTTTTAATATACAGTACACTTGCAATAATATAGAGGGGGAGGAGGGGTTCATTGTTAACCAGCATTCTCTCTTTTAAGGATAATTCCTGTAAATTTCTCAAACATCTGTGTAGGCTCCAATCACAATTAAATGTATGATCCACTTATGGATGCACATGGCCCCAGAAATTTCTGGGAATTTGAGTCAGTGTTGGCTCTTGGCGACTACCTGAACTAGTCCCCGCAGTTTTCTTGACAAGATATTTTCAGAAGTGATTTGCCCTTACCTTCTTCCTAGGGCTGAGAGAGAGTGACTGGCTCAAGGTCACCCAACTGGCTTTGTGCCTAAGGCTGGACTAAAACTCATGGTCTCAATTACTAGTCAGAATGACTGAAACAATATATCAATATACAGGGTATCTTAAGCAAAAATATCAGATCTTTGCCTTAAGGAACCTTTGCTGAAAATGAAGGGAAGAGAGAGGCAACACATTGGAATTTGAGGAAATACATTTGCAATGAATTTAGTAATGTCTGAGTTTGCAAGACTCATTGAAAAAGAAATTACTGTACTATGCTGGGTGAACTCTACTGGTATGGTTAGTTGATAGTTGTTACCATGTGAACACACCCCTCAGGTGACAGAAGTTTTAAGAAGTCAAGCTATAAGTTTCACTGAGCTGATAGATAACCAGAACAAATCTGGGGTACAATATGATAAATAAATATTATTGACATTTTCTTAGAGTATTACGTATGTTTCATTACTGCTTTATGATGGACTTTGATAATGCAGACATACTGTATCACTGAAGACCATTTTCATTGGTACTATTAAAAGATACTACTTGTGAAATAAATCTTAAAACATCTGTAATTTTGATACGTCAATATATTTGTAACTGTGATAAAGTTAAGTTTTTCATTAATTTTTTAGTTGAAATAAAAGTTATTCTGAAGGGCCTTAGGAAGAAAATCCACTTCATTTTCAAATAAGTAAATCTACAAATTTAATAAAAATTTGGTCTCTTAGCCTGCAAACAAGTAAGTTGTTAAAGAAACATTAAACTCATCCTAAAATAGAAAGAATTGTGATCATGACAATTTGTTTAACCATGATTTGTTAAGTAAGGCATAATGAGCAGGCTTTATACTTTTGGACAGCAGATAGCACGGAGAGAGAAACGCTGACATTGGGTGTATAACTTTTATAAGAAAATATAAATATTATATTTATATAGTATATATTATATTTATGTAATATTTATATATTTATAATATTTATAATAAATACATATTTAATATTACAATTAGTATATAATATAAAGACATTCTTAATCACTTATATAATTATTATTGTATATTACATATTTATAAATATGTATAAGCTTTATTTAGGAAATAATGTACAGGTTATGTATTTACTTCTAAGAGCTTGTAGTACAGCCTCATTCATTATGGAGAGAAACCAAGTAAAGTGAGGAACCTTCGCAGGGCAGAGTCAGGCCAGGAAGAAAGCTGAATGGAAAGAGGAAGGAAGTGATGAAAGGGCTGAGAATTTCAGCTGAACTATTAACAGGCATGTTAAATAGTGACATGCAAATTGAGTCATTCGAGGAAAGGAGATGTAATACTATGCTAATTACCTCTGTTTCTATTGCCCCTGGGGATAGTTGGTTGGTTTTTCAGTGCAAAAAAGCCAGTGCTTGCAAAGTAGAGTTCCCATTCAGGCTACCTGCTCAGCCATAAAACAGTGGCTGGGTTCATGTATCACACTTAAAGCAAACAGACAACACAGTGGAACTTTATGGCTAATGGATACATATTATGGATGATAATAGGTGAATCCAAGTTAGGTGTGCAAATGCCAATCAGATTGATCTAAGAAGAGATTCGGATTGCTTGGTAAGAGATCAGAGAACTGCATAAGAAAAAATAGAAAATGAATTCAGATTGATACTGAAGCTCAAGTTCA